TGGGGCCCCTGCTACCCTGCACTCATCAGCTGCAAAAAATGTCCTCAGTGTTGTGGGCAGGCGGTGTCTGTCCTAGGCCGAAGTCCCTTTGCACCGGCTGTGAAGAGGAACAGTTGTGTGTCTGACGGCCTTTTTGGTAGGCCAGCCCCCTAGTGACCAGAGGTCACACCTGTGACCAAATTACGCCCGAGACCATACCCAGTTCTGCTCTAAATGAACCCACAGTGGCCTTTCGTGAAGCCTAGGCTGCTGGGACCTCCAGCACGCCGCAGCTCAGAATGCCTGTGTGTGGGCATTGCCATGAGCCGTTGTTCCTGCGTAGACCTGGCCCTGTGCCTTGGATTTAGCCCCGCCCTCCACTGGAGTCTGCCCCGCCCTGGAGTTAGCCCCGCCCCAACTCCTGGAATAAACCACGCCCCAGAGTTAGCCACACCCGAGGTTGGCCACGCCCTAGAACTGGCCACGCCCAGAGGCGGAGCCAGAACCACTGGGTGCTGTGCGTGTCCTTGGAGGTTCTCACACGTGTGTGCTCAGACAGTGCCCCCAAGTTCTTACATGCATAGAATCCTGACGTTCTCCACGGCCGCGTGAGCTTGGGAAACGGGTGGGAATGTGAGCCTCCTCTGTGGCTCACCCTAGCCTTGCCCTTTCGTGCCTGGGGAATGAGGTGCTGTGTCTTACCTCGTTAGGTGCTCTGGAGGGTGGCGAAGTCGAGCACGATTTGTGGCAGCTTTCCTGGGTCCTCTGCTGCTGGTACAGAGCTCACGCCGTGTCGTCTCCTTTCTCACTGTCCCCAGGCACACTAAGACCTTTGCTGGGTTTCCTCTTCCCTACGTTGGCGCCCGCCACTCCCCACATGTTCTCTGTCCTCCACTGTGTCCTCAGGCCCCCTCACAAATCCCCCAAATACAACCCCAGTTCTTGGTGTTTTCAGTCCTGCAACCTTGTAACCTGGGTCAACGCAGGTTGTCTCTGCTGGTTGCTTGTTTCGTTTCCCTGTTTTCCCATCAGTGAAGTCATTTGGTATTTGGCATGATGTGTATGCGTGCTCTCTCTGACTTATTTCACTGAGCTTGTGACTCTCCAGTCCCATTCAAGTTGCAGTGAACTTCAGTGAATTTTAGTATTCTGCGGGAGGACAGTGCTACAGTGCTACTGTGTACAAATGCCACGATTTCTTGTTTTGCTTGTTTTGTTTTGTTTTGTTTTGGGGCCACAGCTGGCGGTGCTCAGGGGTTATTCCTGGTCTGCACTCAGGAATCAGTCCTAGAGTTGCTAAGGGACCATATGGGATGCCGGGGACAGAACCTGGGTCGGACGTGTGCACAAGCACTCTCCCCGCTGTCCTATCAATCTGGCTCCCAACATCACAACTTCTTGATCTGTTCATCTGTTCTTTGCATATGGGTTGTCCCTGTCCTGCTAATGTACTCGTTATGAACAAGTGTATGTGTCTTTTAAAAAATAATTTAAAAAAATTGAATCACACTTAGAAGGTTGTTCATGATTGGGTTTCATTTATATAATGTTCCAACAACATCCATCCCTTATCCCTTCATCAGTGTACATTTCTCACCACCAATGTCCCCAGTTTCCTGCCCACCACAGTCCGCACTGTGCGTGCCTTTATGGGATGAATGTTTTGTGCTTTGCCAAGAAGTGGAATCACTGTGTCATATGGGAGCTTCGTTCGTTCTTCTTTGATATCTCCATACTGTTTCCCGTTAGAGGCTGCTCCAGATGACATTCCCATCAGCAGTGAATGAGGGTCCTTGTGATGTTGGTGGGCCTGCACAGCTAGCTTATGTGAGGTGGGGAGGAGAGAGACTTTCTCCGGATCCCCCTCTGCCCCCCTGAGGCTGTCTGGGAAGGCTCAGACTGGTAAAGTCTGTGATGAAACCCTGCATGGCACATGGCACAGGCCAGAGCCCTGTCAGCTTCACCAGGTGACTGTCAAGTCACACCTGATGTCTGTTTGGTTTTCTCTGAGTGGGAGTTAACCACCCCCACCCAAGATTTCTCTCAGGGAGCCACAGACTCAGGCTGGAGTGAGGAAGTGGTCTTTGCAGGAAAGGAAAGTCAATTCTAGACCTGACCCAGGGTTTTCAGGTTCTTCTCTTAGCTCTCAGAAAGGAATTTTAGTTAGTTTTTTTTTGGGCCATACTCAGCGATGCTCAGGGGTTACTCCTGACTCTGCACTCATGACTTACTCTTGGTGGTGCTTGGGGGAGCATATGGGATGCCAGGAATCAAACTTGGGTCAGCCGCGTGCAAGGCAAACGCCTTACCCATTGTATTATTGCTCCAGCCTCTTAGAAAGGAGTTTTAGAAGTGGACAAACAGTGAAGTAAAACAGATTTTGTTTGGAGGGTTTTTAAGGAAGAGGAAGGGGAAGGACAGAAAGGGGGGAAGTGGGGAGGCGGGGGGGGAGGGGAGGGAGGGGGAGAGAGAGAGAGAGAGAGAGAGAGAGAGAGAGAGAGAGAGAGAGGCATTAGAAAGAGAACACAGGTTTTTCCAAAGGTGGAGAAAGCCTTGAATGGCCTTTAAGACTGGCTTTTATATTTTATTTCTTGGGCCTTGGCCGGCTGCCTGGGTATGGAGTTTCTCTGGCGCAGATGGGGGTTGTTCAGGTGTCAGAAGTCTCCTTCAGACCCTTAAATGCAGTCTCTGTCTTTGCTGAAATTTGTGTCCCTGTGGGGTCCAGCCTCCTCAGGGTCCATCATTGGTGCCAGGAAGATCTTTGCAGTTTAGGCCTTAATTCTTGCAGCTTCCATGTTTATTGGATTATTGCTCCTCACAAATTCCATTGCCATGAGTCCTCTCCCTTCTACCCGTGTGCCTCACTTTCTCCTATTCTCGACAACACTGTTTTTTTAAAAGTTTAAATTTTATTTTTATAAAATTCTTCATGGTGATTTATTAATTTAATATTCCAACACCAGGCCCACCACCATTATTTCCTATTTTCCTAATCACCACCCAAGCCTGCCCCAATAGCAGACCTGAAATGATTAATTTTGTATTACTTCTTATGATTAATTCACTAAAAATGACTTAAAAATATTTTCTTAGATGAGAGTGTGTGAAGATTGTTGTATCTCACCCTGGACCCATTAAACTCCTGTATAAGAGATTACTAACCTGTTGTTACTGGTTAAACCTTATGTATTAACATATGTATTAACATATTTTTTTTATGTTGGAGCTGGAGTGATAGCACAGCGGTAGGGCATTTGCCTTGCACACAGCCAGCCTGGTCGAGCCAGGTTCGATTCCTCCCCCCCTCTTGGAGAGCCTGGCAAGCTACCGAGAGTATTCAATATGCCAAACACAGTACAAGAAGTCTCACAATGGAGACGTTAATGGGCCCGCTTGAGCAAATCGATGAACAATGGGAGGACACAGACAATATATTTTTTTTTTAATTAGTGAAACACCATGAGGTACAGTTGTAGACTTACATATTTTTGTGTTTGGGTTTCAGTTATACAATGATCAAGTACCCATCCTTCCACCAGCGCCCATCCTCCACCACCAATGAATCCAGTAGCCCTCCCACCCATATTAACATATTCTTAACCAACATTGGTTGCCTTCTGTTTTATATCCCATCCAATGTGGTGTGCTCCTCCTGGCATACCAATGACGCAGAGAAGGAGATGCCTTCACAGCTGCATGCTCCAGAAATTCTAAAATTTTGAAGGCTGTGATACATTTGGGGTTAAATTTTTAACTGGATAGTGACTTTGGAATCCGGAAGCATCTCTGCAACTTGCTGATCTCTTTCGAGACTTATTTATGAATCTCTGGATCATGATTGGTTAATGAGCTTATTTGGCACCAAACACTGGTTGTTTGATATACAGCATTCTCACTGGTGTGAGATGATATCCCATTATTGTCTTGATTTGCATTTCCCTAATAATAAGAGACAGAATGCTTTTTCATTGTCTGCTTTGATGTGTACTGGTGGCCGTCTGTCTTCTTCAAAGAAGTATCTGCTCATTTCTCAAAAGGAACTTCTTTATTTTTTTAGTTTTTAATTTTTTTTGAAGTAAATAGATTTTATTTGGAGGATTTTTAGGTATGAAGGGAGAGAGAGTGAGAGAGTAACGTACTCAAGAGAGAACACGGGCTTCTCCAAGGGCGGAGAGAGCCTCTATACACAGCCTAGCATTAGACTGGAAAGCATGAAAGTACACATCTCAAGAGGGGAGATGCGGGCAACACATGTGCTCGGCCACGTGGGCGCAAGCAGCACATGGTCTTGGGCAGCATATGTGCCGGAACTTCTTTGAATTTTATTGATTTCCTCCTAGTTTTCTTTTCCTCCTAGTTTTCCCCTCCTACTTTCACTAGGAATATTTTTTTTGGTGGTTTCAGGATTTGAGTCTAGGCCCTCACCCAAGTAGGGCGAGTGTTCTACCCCTGAGCCAGTTCTCCACACACATTTGCAATAACTTGTGATTCTTTTTCTACAGGATAGGATCTAGTTTTTGAATTTTTGGGCCACACCCAGTGATGTTCAGGGCTCACTCCTGGTAGGCTCAGGGAACCATATGGGTTGCTGGGAAACAAACCCATGTCTGCCCCATGCAAGCCAGGGGCCTTCCTGCTGTCCTGTCTATCTCTCCAGCCTCTTTAGGCCTTTCTCAGTGGTGTGTTCATGGTGCTGCGTTTCCCAGGCCTAGGGTCCTGTGGGTATTCATGTAGTGTTCAGGAGAAACACAGTCCTCTTGTCTGTTTGGGGTCACACATTGATGATTCAGAAATCTTTTATTATTTATTTATTTATTGTGATGGATTTCCGTGAGGTACAGTTACAGACTTAACAAACTTTCATGGTTACGTTTCAGTCATACAATGATCGAGTACCCATCCCTCCACCAGTGCCCATTCTCCACCACCAATGATCCCAGTGTGCCTTGCCCTACCCACACCTAATCCCCCCCCACCCCGCCCTGCTTCTGTGGCAGGGCATACCCTTTTGTTCTCTCATTTTGGGTGTTGTGGTTTGCAATAGAGGTATTGAGTGGTTATCATTTAGTCTATAGTTTGCTTTCAGCACGCATCTCCCATCCTGAACGGGCCCTCTAAGCACCCTTTACTTGGTGGTCCCTTCTCTATCTGAACTGCCTTTCCCCCAGCATGTGAGGCTGGCTTCCAAGCTGTGGAGCAATCCTCCTGGTGCTTATCTCTACTATTCTTGAGTGTTAGTCTCCCTTTCCGTTAGTTTATATTCCACAAATGAATGCTGATTCAGAAATCTTTTGCTTGATGTCCAAACCATGGGAATTTTAGCTCCTGTGGCTTCTGGGGTCCTACACTCTAATCTGCGGATAGTGGGTTTTGGTCCTTCCTGGACTAGTGGAAAGCCAGAGTGGCATACACACTGGGCTCTGTGGAACCCCCTGATTGGAAAGAAGGGGGTGCTGTGGTCTGTGCAGGATCCAGGTGGATCAGCTGTGCATAGGTCACCTCCTGGGGGGCCTCAGGTGCTTGTGCCTGCAGGGAGACGGGGGTCAGGGGTGTGGGGCTGAGGGAAGCCAGGGGTCTGCAGTGGAGGCACTCACCTGCCCCACCCTTTGTCTGTCCTCTTCTATCTGTCCGTCCTGAGTGTCCAGTGGAGCCCCTGAAAGGGGGGTATGGAGAGGCACTTCCCGCCCAAGTCCTGTGCACTTCACCTGGGCATTGGTTGCTACCGGGGGGTCTGCATCTTGTCTGCCCTGTGGGGGTCACGAGGAGGGGGGTGGGTGTCCGTGATGTCACTTCCACATGGTGACACAGGTTCCAGACCACCATGCATGAGCCACCCTCCGGGGATCTTTAAGAGTGGCCCCAGTGACACACATCTGGGTGCTCTGTCAGCTCTCTGAGCCTCACAACTGCCTGCTCCCTCCCCTCAGGCCACTGCTCCCCTGAAAAGTCTGCCCACCCCACCCCAGACTCTTGACACCTGCTGCTTTCTCCCTCTCCCCTAATCCCTGCTCCCCACCTCCAGGGCTCAGGGAACCTGCAGTGGCTTGAGGAAGTGTGTGTGTATGTGTGTGTGTATGTGAGTGTGTGCTTATTGTGTGACTGTGAGTGGTGTGTGTGAATATGATTGCATGTGTGTGCATGAGTGTGTCTGTGAGTGAATGTGTGTGTGAGTTGTGTGTGAGTGTGTATGTATGAATGTGAGTATGTGTTAGTGTATATGTATGAATGTGTGAGTGTGTGAGTGTAAATGTGTGTGTGTGAATGTGTATGAATGTGTGTATGTGTTAGTGTGTGTGGGAGTATGTGGCTGCATATGTATGTGTGAGTGTGAGTGTGAATGTGTGTATGAATATGTGTGTGTGAGTGTATGAGTGAGTGTGTTTGAGTGTGAATGTGAGTGTGAGAGTGAGTGTAGTGAATAGAATATGTGAATGTGTGTGCATGTGTGTGTTAGTGTCAGGGTGTATGAATATGTGTGCAGTGTGTGAGTGTATGAGTGTGTGTGAATGTATATGTATGTATGTATATGTGTGAGTTAGTTTATGTGTGTATGTGTGCATATGAGTGCATGCATGTGTGTTAGTGTATGTGTGTGCATAAGTGTGTGAGTATAAATGTATGTGCATGAGTGTGTGCATTTGTGTATTGGAGTAGGAGTATGTGCAATGGGGTTGAGAAGGTGTGAGTGAGTGTGTATATGTATGTGAGTGCATTAGTGTGAGTGTATGTGTGTGAGTAAATGTGATTGTGTGTGTGTGTGTGTGTGTGAGATGAACTCTATGTCTGACGCACATAGGCTGGGGGAGCCTGGGATCCAGGCGACCCACTGAGTCCCATGCCCTCTGAGACCAGCTGCAGGAAGGGGAGCCTGGGGAGGGGTGGGGTCAGGGCCGAGCCTGGGGAGGGGTGGGGTCAGGGACAGGGTACTGGGGTGTCTCATCCTGAGTCCAAGCTCGATGGTGCCCACTGGGAGCTGGTGCTGTGGGGAGGGGAGGGCCCTGGGAATGGAGTGTGGGGAGAGGGTCCCGAGCAGCGCTCACCCGGAAGTCCAGCTGTGCCCCTTGCTCAGGCCCTGTGTGCGTGGCAGCAACATCTGCTGGGACAGAACCGGGGTGCGGGCCGGGTGGGTCCCCTGAGATGTCTGAGACCCGCAGCCCCACTCCCGCCTGAGCCCTCACCCCCAGCTTCCCAGCCTGTCTTGGGCCCCGAGATCTCTGGGCCCTCTCACCTGGGGCTTCCTTCTGGACATGCGCCCTGGGGCCGGAGCTGGGGAGCAGAGGGTAGTGTGAGGGTGGGAGAGGGGTCGCGGGCAGGGGTGAGGGCTGGGTTGGGAGTTACCCGCTGTCCAGGCCTCTGTCCTGGGGCTTCGGGCGTGCGGCTCCTGCGGGCAGTGCGGTGTGAGCTCTGGGCGGGGCCGGGCAGCCTTGCTGTGGCCATCACCCTCCCCACTCACCCGACTTCCTGTGTCCAGCCTGACGCTGCCGGCGGCGGTGTCGGAGCAGGAGGAGGCCGAGGAGGAGGCTGAGCAGGACACAGGCCGCAGAGAGCCCGAGAATCAGGGGCAGGGGCCCCGGGAGACCTGGGAACAGAGGGGTTGGAGAGGAGGGAGCTTCCCTCACCTTTGCGGGTGCGGGACTGTTACCCCTTATGAGCGGGACATGGAGCAGAGCAAGGTCAGTGCAGGCCAGGGCTGAACCTGTCCCCGTGTCCACTCAACCCTGAGTCATGATTCAGTTACTCACCAGTGCTGGACATGGGGCCTGGGGCCAGGTGGCCACTGTTCCCAGAGTGCCCTGAAAGAGAAGGAGGCCGGGGAGCTGGCTGGGCCTGAGACCTCCCATCTCCCTTCCTCGTTAGCCCGGGTCCCAGCCCAGTTCCCACCTGGGGATCCTAGAGAGAGGCAGGGGTGAGAGCATATGAGAGAAGACCCCATAACTCTACCAGCTCCCCTCCCCCTTCCCTTCCACCGTCTGGGGGACTCGGCCTTGAGAAGACGAAGAACAACAAGACAAGGGCTGGGACTCACCTGACACTCGGAGCTGCAGGGGGGCACTGGGCTGTGACAGCAGGTAGGGGGTGATGCTGTGTGAGCTGTAGCACCTGTAGGTGCCACTGTGGGCTGAGGTCACGGGGTGGAAGGAGAATTTGACTGGGGTCAAGTGATCTCTGTTATCTGCGTGGACACGCAGTGGGGGGTCAGCCGTCCCCTCCTTGACCAGAAGAAAAGTGTCCCTGAGGCCTCCTGACAGGCAGAGCAGGGTCACGTTCTCTCCTGGGGACACTGTGGGGCCCGGCTGCACCATGAGGATAGGAGTGTCGTGGTGCTGTCCTAGGAGAGGAAGGGCAAGGGCGTTCGGCTCTGAGCTGAGTCCCCGGGACCCTCCTCTGGGTCACTGTCCCTCCCCCTTGGGGACCCTACACCCTCATCCTCCCATCACCCACCCCACACCCTTTGGGCCTATGCAGAGTCGGGGTCCCTGATGGAACTCGTGAACCCTCACCTGCTACCAGGATGTCAAGGGGGTCACTGGGCCCTGACCACACTGGATAGAGGCTGTGTCCCCCGTAGCAGCGGTACCGACCCCCATCAGACCTACTGACAGGCCCCAGTGGGAAGTCGGCCTGAGAGAGCCCAGGCTGGGTCTGCCGGCCAGGGCGCTTGGAGAAGTCCAGGGCTCCCTCCTTGAACAGAGCGAACTGGTCGTAGATGACCTCAGAGCGACACTGGAGGGTCAGGGTCTGTCCTTGGGTCACGATTAGTCCCTGTGGGCTCAGAAGGGAGGGTCTTCCAGATGCATCTACAGACAGATGAGGGGGGACAAGGGCTGGGCCCATTTGTTCTGTCCTGTCCCCAGTAGATACTGTCCCCAAACCCTGGACCAGGACCCCCCATGCTCCATCACCCCACCTGCACAGGCTCCCCTTGGGAAGCCCCCAAGGAAAAAGACCCCAATAATCCCACGTAGCTGCAAAGCCTGGATGGGACCAGGGGGCTCACCTGAGACCAGGAGCTGCAGGGGGTCACTGGGCTGAGACCACACATAGGGATTATTCCTGTAGTAGCCATAACACCTGAATGTCCAGTTGTGCTTGGGGGTCACGGGCCCCACAGAGAACAGGGCCTGGAGCTGCCCACTGGAGCTTGTCTGTGATTCGAAGGTCCGGTGGGTCTCAGGTTCTCTCTCCTGAGTCAGAATAAACCCGTCGAATCCCAGCCCACACCTGAGGGTCACGGTCCCCCCTGAGGTCACAGCCAGGCTTGGCAGGGCTGAGAGGGATGGTTTCCTGTAGGCTCCTGGGAGGGGGGCAGGGGTTCAGGGTCACACTCACACCACAGAGAGACCCTGAGGCAGCGGCTAAGTCCCCGAGTGAGTCTCACCTGTGACCACCAGCTCTAGGGGGTTGCTTAGCTCTGATGAGCCAGAGGGGCTATAATAATAACAGCGATAAGTCCCAACATAAACTTCTGACATGGACGAGATGGAGAACTTGGCCTTATTCCCGGGCTCCAATGCCATTTGTGTTTCCCAGAACAATGGGCTTTCCTTAGACAGACGGAAGTCCTGGACCCCCAGGGCTCCCCGACACCAAAATGTCGTAGGCTGTGCCCAGGAGATCACAGAGCCTGGCTCAGCCCAGAGGGTGGGTCTGGGCAGGGTCCCTGGAAGGAAGCAGAGGCTGGTCACAGACATTCCCGTCCCAGTCCCAGCTCTAGCCCAGGACCCCCCACATCCTACCACTCATCCCCAAGAACTGATATTCCCATTTCAGCTGTCTGTGGGCTCTGTCCCAGGGGTGCCTGACCCTGGGGTCACACTCACCTGCCTGCACAGGGGTCCCAGCACCCACATTCAGCGCTGAAAGAGAGACCCTGTGAGAGTCTGTCCTGAGTCCCAAGGGAATCTCATCCCAGAGCCCCCCAAGTCCCGGGTACCCTGACCTCTGGGCCCCCCCAGACTCAGGTCCCTCCTGAGGCTCACCCAGACAGAGCAGGGCCGTGAGGGGAGTCATGGCATCTCCTCCTGTCCCGGCCATGCAGTGGGGGAACTTGGTGACCCACAGGACAGACAGGGTGTGTTCTTGGGTTGGTCTTGTATGTCACGTGGTATCACATCAGAGCCCTCAGGAAGGGGAACTGCCCCCGAGGACAGGCTGTTTTAGGGGAACAGCACAGAGAGTGGCACCCCCAGACACGCCTTGTAGGGGGAAGCCCCAGGTCTGACCACCCCCTCACCCGGAGTGTCCTCCTTCTCACCCACCAACCCTTAGCTCCTCCCTGGAGTCCCCACTGAGAACAGGGTCCTGGGGGTCTGTGGAATAGGAGGTGCCTGGGAATAGGAGGTGCTGCAGTTGCAGAGACAGGGGGCCTGGGGGCCAGGAAGCTAGGGACCCTCTCTGCTAAGTGAGGGTCTCTCCTTTTCTCCCCTTGGCCCCACCCGACTCTGCCCCTCCCCTCTCTCCCTCCCTCAGCACTGGGTCCCCAAGATTCTGCCCAGGTCCTGCTCTGTGTGGGACATCAGGAAGGTCAGAGATGGACAGATATGTCCCCTCTACCCCAGTGCCAGGGAACCTCCTTGGGGTCCCACTCCTGGCTGTGGGGTCAGCGTGCAGCCCTTGGTGGTTGCAGAGCTGGAGGAGTCAGTGGGGACAGGAAGGAAAGGGCCTGACTCAACGGCGGGATCATGTCCTCCTGATCCTGACCAGTGTCACTTCCTGTTGGTCTCAAGCTCATGGACACGGAGTTGCAGGAAACCGAAACCCAGAATCAGCAGGGACACCCAGAGTCACAGACACAGCCAGGCCGCACTGAGGGAGCCTGTCCTGTGGGTCTGGCAGGCACAGGATGCCTCTCTGAGCTTGTCCCTCGCCCCAGGACAGCCTCTAGTGGGTCCTGGGGTCTGTCGCAGCCTCATCAGACTCTGGCATGGGAATGTGGGTGTCGGGGCAGGAGCAACGGCTGAGCCCTGAGCCCCCAGCAGTACCGCCTGGGGCCCCTCCAAGACCTGATGTGGGAGCTTCTGGCAGGACAGAGTAGACAAAGGGTCAGGAGTGACTCAGGGTCCCTGGCTCCTGTCTGCAGGGTTTCCTCACTTGTCATCAGAAACTTAGCAGGAGAGGGAGAGGGACATTGTGTAACTCCTGGGCCACAGAGAATGGAGGCTTAGAGCCAGATCATGGGTCAGATACCAGAATATCCTGTTTTTTTTTTTTTTAGTTGTTGTTGTTGTTGTTTTCCTTTTGGGGTAACACCAGGCAACTCCTGGCTCTGTGATCACTGGTGGGGATCAGGGGACCCTTTGTGGTACCTGAGGTTGATCCTGGGTCAGTGGCATGCAAGGCTAGATCACCCTGCAGAACCCTCTCTTAGGACCCTGTCTCCTCTTGAACCTCTCGGACCCCCAGCTCCTTTCTGCTCCAGACTCTCGGCTTGCCCCCGGACCCCACCCGAGCTGACACTGCCCCTAACCCCGCCCCCATCCCTCGGATCTCCAAATGCCACAGGTGGGGTCAGGTGTTCTGTGTTTGCCTTCCATCCTGCTTCCCTCCCGAAAAGATTCCACCTCCTTGGTGCCCAGCGCTCTGGGCTACTGCCCCTTGTCACTGTCCGCATTGCCCCCTCGAGAGCCCTTCTTGGAACTTCAGCTGCTGATTCCACTGTCCGTCTGGATGCGTCCCAGTACCTCTGTTTCTTCTGGAATCTTTCGCTGCAGAATCAGCTTCTCAGCTCATATTTGTCTTCATGAAACCGGCCCCTGAACCAGCCCATTTGTCCCCTGCAACCTCCGTGGGACTTGTTTTCGGTATGTCCCTCCTGGTCCTTGAGCTCAGACCATGTGATAGGGACCCAGGAGGCCACAGGAAGCCTGACTGCTGCGGGCCTTGGCCTTACTAGTCTGAGGGTGCCTCAGTCCCAGAAGGCAACAGCCCTCGCACCCCCAACATGCCCCAAGGAGCCTGTATTTCCAGCTGGTCAGCAGGGAGCTTGGAGTTCTTTGAGGATCCATCTCCAGGGACAGATGCAGGGAGTGTGGAGAGTGTCCATGAGGCACAAACACAGTTGGATCGACACAGTCCCTCTCCTGGGGAACACAGACACATCGTGGTTAATCAGGGCCCACCGAGCGCCTCTCCTGGAGCTGGCTGCCCCTCTGGATTCTTTCTGGTTCCAAAGAAGACCATGCCCTCAGTCTCCCCAGCTCGCCTCTCCCTCAGTCTGGGATGGTCACTGTGCCCTGCTGCTCATTTCTTGGTGTCTGTCACTTGGGGGTCCATATGGGCCAGCTGGCAGGAGCTCAGGTCCCATTCTTCAGGGTTCTGGAAACTTTCCGTGTGGTCTCTGCTCCTTGTGCCTTTTCCCAAGCCCACAGCAGCCTTGTGTGTTACCCGAGGGGCGTTGCCGACTCACAGCTCTCGGCCCGTGGGCACTGCAGACCTGTGGGCATCGTTGGTCTCCTGGAGCCAGTGCGACTCTGGGTTAATATTCTCAGGTGCTGCCCCCTGGGTGCCGCGGTGCTGACCCGCCACACCATCCTTATGGCCACAGCACGGCTCCCACCCGCCCTCAGCTTCACATCACTGCAGCGTCTCCTTCAACTTCTGACCCGTCCGGGACACATGAAGGACAGTCATTGTGTTTCGTGGCACTTCCATGACTGCAGAGTGGTGACAACTCACGTGCTTCTGCCATCGGTCACGCATGTCCTTTTAGAGACTACTGCCATGTAGTTCATCTCTTTGAATTGTTAGTCTTTTGTTTCTAACGTGTCCTTCCTGCTAATAATCTACCACTTATTGCCCTTGCAGTGTGGAATCTCGCCTCTTCTGTGGGCATCTCAGCTTTCCGAGGGTGTCCTTGAGTGTGTCATTGTATACTTTTAAGGAAGTTTAGACCATTTATTTATTTACTTATTTATGTATTTGGTAATTTTGGTATGGTACCTGAGAAGTCATGGTTTGGAAGATTTAACCAACGTTTTCTCTAAGACAATGTGGAGTGAGGATTGCGACCCTGAGATTATGAAGCAGTTGGCAAATGGGGGGAAGGGAAGTGAGGGGGCTGGTTGTGACACATGGCAGAGGGGAAGGACCCGGGACCCCTGCAAGGTGCTGAATGTGTAGGAAAGTGGCCATCAGCATCATGACTAACACTATTGTAACCATGTTCCTGAAACTACAATAAATCAAAAAACAATGGTTGGAACACCTAGGCAGTTAAAACAAATGAATCTTGTGGTGGGAATTGGTGGTGGGAAATGTACAGTAAAGGGATGGGTGTTGGAACATGTATGACTGAAACCCAATGATATAAAGAGTTGTAACTATCATTGTAACTATTTGTAACTGTTGTACCTTTATAAATGTTTATCTCTTGGTAATTTAATAAAAGAAAATTTAAAACAAGAGAGAATCTGTAATGTCATTGTTACGGTCCATTTGCCCTGTACGGTGCATGGGAGCATTCTTGCTTCTGAAGACCCGGGTCCCTGGGCACTGGGCTATCTGTCTGAGTGGCCGTGGGTGTGCGTCTGACTGAGTGGCCCTGGTGCCCTTAGACCCAGCAGTCATGTGCTTGATTACTCCTTTCCAGTCAAGCCTGCGCTCCACTCCACATGTCTGTCCTTACGCTGACTCCACACAGTTGGGACAGCGGTTTTGGAGCCAGTTTTGAACTTAGACATGTAAGACCTCCATCTTTGTTCTTCGGGATGAATTTTGGTCATTCTCGGTCTTTCTCCTGTGGTGATGAGCTTGATGGTTGATTTGTTTGTTTCTGCAAATAAGACTCTGAGACTCTGGTGGGGGGTTATCCTGAAAGAGATGCTTGGGATGGTTGTTCTCCTTTTCTGGGGGATTCCAGACTAGAGTGCCAGTAGTTCATGCCACCCATCTCACAGTCCCTCATGTCTGTCTTGCAATTCTCAGTGAATTTGTGCATATGTACATTTTTATTTTTTTCCTTTTCCTTCCTTCCTTTTCTTGGGTCACACCCAGAAATGCTCAGGGACTCGGGGGTTTACTCCTGGCTCTCCACTCAGGAATTATTCCTGGTGATGCTCTGAGACCAAATGGGGTGCCAGGGACTGAATTCGGGTCAGCTGCATGCAAGGCAAATGCCCTCCCTTGCTACAGCCCCCACCTTCCTTCCTTCCTTCCTTCCTTCCTTCCTTCCTTCCTTCCTTCCTTCCTTCCTTCCTCTCTTTCTTTCTTTCTTTCTTTCTTTCTTTCTTTCTTTCTTTCTTTCTTTCTGTCTCTTCCTTCCATCATCATCATCATCATCATCACCACCACTATCATCATCATCATCATCTTCTTCTTCTTCTTCTTCTTCTTCTTCTTCTTCTTCTTCTTCTTCTTCTTCTTCTTCTTCTTCTTCTTCTTCTTCTTCTTTTTTGCCTTCTCCTCCTCCTCCTCCCCCTCCTCCTCCTCCTCCCCTCCTCCTCCTCCTCCCCCTCCTCCTCCTTCTATTCCTCCTTCTCCTCCTTCCCCTCCTCCTCCCAATGATGCTCAGGGATTACTTCTGACTCTGCACTCAGGAATCACTTCTGTTGATGCTGGAGAGACCATCTGGGATGCTGGGGACCAAACCAGGGTTGACTGTATTCAAGGCAAGCACCCTTCCTCCTGTACTATTGCTCCTGCCCCTATGTACATTTTTGTCTAAAATAAGAACAGAAATACTCTTGTGTCCTCGAAGATATTTTGCAGTCTTTGGTTCTGGCGCCTGTGAATGAAACCTAATTATAAGGCAGGACTTTGCAGGTGCAATAAAGTTACAATGAGGCTGTAGTGACCAAAAGTGGGCTCTAACTCAAGGTTTCTTCTTTCCTCGTCAGCAGAGCAGAGATGTCCGGGGAGATTGATGGATGCACACGGGATGCAGCAGGCCCTGTCAGTCCCCAGACATGGAGGCAGTGGGAATCCTGCTCACTCACTGAGAGCCAGCACTGCCATTCCCCTGGCCCCCAAGGGAGCCTGGCCTGCTGAAACCCTCACTAATAGGTTTCAGTGGT